GCCACCGTGCGACGCCTGCACCGAGAGCAGAGAAACGGTGCAGTTGGGCCTGACCCGGCACAGCCGCGGCACAGCCCCCTGAGGAGGGCACGCGCTGCCCCCCGCACATCCCAAAGCACCACGGACGTCGCACACGCAGGCCACGGCCAGAGAGGACACTGGTGAAGCGTTTATGGAGGGAAGCACTCACCTGTAAGGATGCCATGGCTGAGCTTGGGCAAATTTGCAGGGAGCACTCAGCTGCCTCCTCTCCTCTCCCGTCCGTCCCGCGGGGTCAGAGCGACGGCCGAGCTCGCGGAGGAGGGCTCGCCCTGAGGATGGAGGAGCATTAGGATCGCATTCAACACAGCTCAGCTGCTGTGCGCTGAGCAGGCTCTAAATGGCAGCAGGAAAACAAGGCGAGGATGCACCCAGCCCTCCGCACCCCACGGCGCAGGAAATCACCCTCAGATTGGAGCAAAGGAAGGAAAAAGGCGAAACAATGTGTGGGGCAGGATACACGGCTGAAACAGGGGCCGCTGCGCAGCACCGCCTTACAGCGCACACAGCCTCCCCGGGCCTGCGTGAGCCAAGGGCTCCCAGTTCACCACCCACCTCTCCAGGGGCACACGAGCCAGACAGACATACGGATACTGGCACAGCTCCAATCACTCGCTCTTTCCTATACCTAGCTCAAAAGAGACTCAGCTAACAAGGGAGGTAAGTCCCCACCGGCGGTCTGGCCTCGGAGCTGCGAGGTGGCTGTGCCTTGGGACAGGCCACGTGTGCCCCACCGCATTTGGGGCAGAGGGTACTTTGTTCCGAGCGGGTACAAGACATGTGTTGTAACCCTTCACCTTGAGAGACACAGCCCGTAATTCAGCAGGGCCTAAACTCCGAGCTTAGCGTGAAATTGCTGCTGGGAAACAGATGATTAATGCCTCAGGCCAGGAAGAGTTCATCCTTCCCAGGAGGAGCTGTGAGGAGCAGAGGCTTCCCAGCTCAGAAGGGCAACGCTGCACCAGGCGCATCCTCTCCCCGGGGAGGCCGAGCACCACAGGAGCAAAGCCCCAGGAACCTTCCACTCCTGCAGCCAAAACGTCCCTTACCTGAAACACCCCGGGCCGGGGACAGGGCTGCAGCGCTCACGAAACCTCGATGCTGGCTGAGCCTCCGACTGCCTGCTCGCCTTGCTTCCCCGCACAGCGACTCAGCGAATACAGCCAGGAAAAAAGAATGGGTAATTTCTCACAAATTCAGCACAGAAGCAGCAAAGGAGGAAGGCACAGCAGGCTCCCTCCATGCAAGGGAAACTTTTGTGACCCTCACTGGGGTATAGGCCTTGCCCAAGGGGGGCTGCAGGCTGGCCCCACCTCCAGCTCCCTCTCCCTCCCTCATGCCGGCTGTCCGGCTCAGTTTTCCAGCAGGCTACCAGGGGGCTGCCCAGGTAACCACCAGGGATCACCAGAAGATCCATACAGGTCTGGGGTACAAAGGCTGCTCCACAAACATGAGCGTGCTGACAGCAAAAGGTTGTTTTCGCTCTTAGGGCAGTTTGGCAAAGGATGAACCCATTGTTCAGACTCAGAACACAATCTTGGCACTTCGTCTGGGTAATGGCCATGATAAATAAAGAGCAGTAGCTAATTAGCTGTTCATTAAACAGAGAGAAGAGCACACAGGGATTGTAACAATACCAGGCAGCAAGTGGAGCACCCGTCTTCTCGCACCCACTTGCATTTCCCACACAGCTCCAGGGCTTCTCCTCCCACCAGCCCTGAGCTGGGCCAGGGAACCCACAGCCCCCTTGGCCGCTCTCTGCCTGCGTGCCTGCCCCGCTCCTCTGGGCATTCCTTCGTAGGAATGCACCTCCCCAGCGCCGCAGCTGCGCCCTAGCACGGCCTCACAGTTTCCATGGCAACTTCCACTCACATCATCACTCAATATTGTTCTTTTCCATTTAAGAAGAGAACCCTGCTGCTCCTTTAAATAGTTCATTATCGTTTGTGCTCCAGCAGACCACCCCGCAACCAGCACCGCCCTGTACAAAATAGAATCAATTTAGCAAGCATTTGTGCTTGGGTACAGAAGGGCAGACGGAGAAGGGTGGGACATAACCCAGCTGGATTCTTGTCTAGGCACCTACCTCAGGAGACAACCACCAAGAACTTGAGCCTGCTCACACCTCCCCTGGGCCCAGGCTAGCCCACTCCCATCTGTACACGCAAGTAGGTGCTCTGGGAAGGCTGCACCCCGCGCTGGGGGAAGCGCAGGGGCGTGGGGTGTCTCTGCGGAGCCTCCCGCCAGGCCAGCTGGCGCGGCCGCAGCGTGGGACGGTTCCTCAGCCTCCTGCGGGAAGGGCACGCTCACACCCACCAGCACCGGACCAGCCCTTGGGCAGAGCGGTTCTCAGATCCCCAGATCCTGTGGTTTCCTGCAATAACATCTGTGATTAAAACCTGGTATTTTGCCTAGAAATAGCAGCTACTTAGACCATAGCCAAGTCATGCAACGCTTTTAATAGATGTGACTGAAAGCCTCATTCTTCGTCCCACACTCGCCCCAAACAGCGCTGCTCTCCTGGTGAAAGGGGTGCCGAATGCACGCGAGATGGAGTTTAATGCTTTGCTATCCACAGGAGATGAAGCCACTTACAGGGGAACTCTAGATCCTCTCCCACCAACACAGAATCGAAGGAAGAAAGCATCTGCCACGCAAAGCAAACCTGATGTACTGAATTCGGTCTAGCTGACTTCCCTTCTTACTGGGCTGGGGAATTAGCTTCTACGTAATGAAGTGTGTAGGCACACAGTTTACAAACAGAAGGCAGTTACTATAAAATTGATCTAAATGAGCTGTTACAGAAGAGTTTCTTAACAGGCCCAACGGCAGAAGGAGACAGAGACAAAAGAGGTGAACAGGAGATGGCTCCCAGACAGAATTTAGCTGAGAGGGCTGGAATAGCAAGTTCGTAACTTCATGATGCCTGAGCACAGCCAAGCTGCCTTGGGAAATACACAGGGAAGCAAGGAAAAGAAACAAAAGCTAGACAGCACATAGACTTACCCTATTGTGTAAGTCATGTATTATGCAGCTCAGAGTTAATTCCATTAGTGACCTTCCCAGAAAAAGTGCGTAAGCTTGCAGGGAACTTGCAACATCAAGAAGAGATAAGTACATGCCTGATACCGAGAGGCCAAAGCCAAGTACAACACAGATCTGCCCATGAAAATAATATACACAAAGCACCTTTCAGTGTCAGACCCTCTTTCCAGTCAGCATTAGTTCACATCTCTTTCAACCATTTCTTCACCACCTATTTCAGGTTTTGCCACAGCTCTTTTTGCAATGGTATCAAGACAAGAATCAGGAGCGTGGGCAATTATAACAGCTTCCCGAAAGACATTAAAAACAGCAACCTGACCAAGCAGTGCAAGTCACAGCAAACCTCACTTGCCCTCCGGTTTACCATTTAAGATGCTCCTATGCATATAAAATCGAATTACAATAGGAAAGTGATTGACAGAAGCCAGGCAAAGTGTGCTTTCAGGGTTCAGGCTTTTAAGAACAAGCCTTTTAAGAATTCTGCAACAAATGTATTATCACTACTTACGGACTACATAATGATCCCAGAGAAGAAGAAACCGCTTTACCCACTGGCATTGGATGCATGGGCTTTAACTACTAGTCCTTAGAATCAAAAAGAAACACAGCATCTCCAAGTTAATATTGCAGAACTTTATACTACACTTAATACACTTAGATCATACTTGACAGGACACTGTCATAAGGTAGTGACTGATGTAAATACAAATATTAGAAACAACACTTGAAATTAAAAAAGTTTATTTGAAGATTTGTAAAACAGCTCTGTGAAAGACCAACATTTCCAAGACACTACAATATGATAATGCATTTTCCTATTGTTAGAATATAAAAAAGTCACAGTCCTTCCACTATCTAAATAAAAGCATACATTTATGGACCAAACATTTTACTTCCAACACCAAGAAAGTAAATGAAAGTCAACTAATCAATAGCACCAACACTAGGTGACAACAACCCTCATGAGTCTGAGAGTCTGGGTTTGTCATTACTACGCAATAAAGCGGGTTAGTGAAGCAAATCTTAATGTCAAAACAGACCACGAGCACTGCAGAGTTCATACAATGAAATATCACAATGCATTCTTTTTACATTCCATTGATGCAAACAACAGTAGCAAGCCAGAAACACCAAAGAGTTCCCGTTAAACTCCAAGCTTCCATTTCGGGACAAGAAAATCTTCAGAACTTAAAAATGCCAGTTCCATTTTAAACACACAACTTTATTCACTTTACTTTTATGTTTACATAATTTGTGCAATAGAGACATGTGCAATAGAAAGGTGAAGAACAAGATGTAGGAGTGGACAGTATTACAAGGATCCAATGATCACTTCATTGTAAAGCAGCACAGTATTATACTGCTTTCCGATGATACTCAGGAGGGGCTACTTCATAGTCACTGGCGCTAAACAACGCAGAAGAATTCTTTGCTAAATACCTATGAAAAATAATGAAAAGATTAAGTTACCTTCTTGCCTAAAGTCTCTGTTGTTTAGCATCAACAATGAGTGAATCGTCAGGTGTTTGCTGAGACCATAAAACATGATTTCAAGAGTACAAATCTAACATGTATCTACTAAGAAGTCAGCTGTGTAAAGCAATTAAAGACTTGACAGCTCATGCCAAAAAAATCAATTCCAAACAAGTTGCCAAGCAACTCTGGCTCCAAGTGAGCCCAGGGAGGTTAAGATTAACAGGATGAAACAGTTGACATGGGAGGTTCAGTCAGCTGCTGTACCAAGAATTGATTTACTACTGATCATACTCAAAGCGGCAGGAACAAGGAGTAGGACACCATGAAGTTCTGTCTGCACAAATATGGAACTTAAATGGCTAAGAGCAAATGAGCAATGGTCAACTTAGTGCAATAGCAGAAGATAAGCATTATATGCCATTACTTCTCATCAAATGGATTCAGGGATTTCTGGTCAATGCACTGGCTTCACATTTCTACCTTTACAACTGAAAGCTCTTTTAGCACTTGTGTTTACTTAAGACTTACCCAAAAGACTATGATCGACTTAAGACTCTAGGACTATCCCAAGGCAAGTTTACCCTAGAAATCGGGCTGATCCATTTCTAATTCTACTGCAGAGTTATCTTGGACTTGCTGAGGGTTTTCTTTCAACTTCCAATAGCTGACCCAATCACACAGAGGTAAAAGCTGGTATTTACTGGCAAAACAGCTTAATGCTTTGTTACTCTAATTATTTACAAATCAGTATTTCCAAATACTATCAGTAGACCACTAAAGCCTTATATGAAAATACACAGAACATTTCTCTCCTCCATGACATAATCACAAACGGAAGTTTACAGCTTTAGTAAATTTGACCAAGAAAATCTGCCAGTACAGCAAAACCAAAAAGCTGCACCGATGCTGTGAGCTGGCATACAGCTGAACAGCTTCATACCACACACCTGTCCCTACATATATGTATAAATAAATTGCAGAAGCATTAATACTAAGTTCCTCTAGTGGGGTACAGATGCATGGAAGCTGCTAAAGCCATGCTTGTACATACATATCAGGGAACACAGGTATGACATCTCAGACACTAAACTGAAGTTTAATTCTATTATAGAATCTCACATTCAGGAAACGTTTACAGGTGAACTAAGAAGCAAGTGACTCCATGGTTCCTTATAGCAGTGAGGGAGTATTTCATCACCTGTCTGAAATCAAATGTCTTTTTTTTTTTAAACATTTCACATTAAAGTCTTGTATTATTATTTAGGATGAGGTTTTCATCCTAAATATAACATGTCTACAGCACCACAGGGTACTGCAGTGCACTAAAGCTACAATCTGTCCCAGAAATAACATTAGTAAGGTTCATCAGTTTTATAACATTTGCTCAATTCTTGTTGAGTAACTGTTGTGTAATTTAATAGTTTGCTGTAATTGTCATCTGCTTTTTATAGCAACTACAAATAAATGCTTCAACATTTATTTTGAAACAAGTAGCAGACTTGGACAGTTTAAAAGTGCAGACTAATACATACGTAAACACACAACTAACTAGCAATAACCTCAGTATAACTGGAGAGAAGTTAAAACCAGTCTTACTCACGTTACTGTGCAGCAGAGTTTGAGAAAACTTCACTGCAGTCTTCAGTGAAGATACCACACACAGGTGCAAGATTATACAGGTGTTATATGACCATTGTTCACTGAAAATAGGCCCCATTACAATAGCCTGTGCTTACTGAACTTTTTCTTTCTTGCTGAAAGACTTAAAGAGTACTTACTTTAAGAAGTCATGCAAATAGTTTAACAGCAAAGCCAGACTCTTCTCATCAAGAGGAGTGTAAGCAAGCATAGCTCCAATTCGCACTGTTTCAAAAGAAGTAGTACTTGTTAGTTATAAACAACAGCTTTAACAAGTATTTAAGTACAGTCTAGAACCTTACAGTTAGCATATAAAAGCAGCCCAGGAATCTATTCCAAAATATAGAAGCTCACCTAAATTAACTAGACTGTTGAAAATCCATTTCCATTCTAAATCCTTGAGTGGCTCTGAACATTTTAGGTATATGGAGTAAGGAAAGACTGAAGCCACATGTTTCATAGCTGCTTGTCAAATTTCTGCAGTTCACACCCACTGAGCCTCAAGACAGGAAAAGGAAGCATTTGAATACTTCTAACTGCTCTTCAACCTCTAGAGGTCATACTCACCAAATAACCTCAGTAGGTGTGGGGCACCATAGACTTGAGACATTGGAGCATCAGGGTGATCTGCTAAAATTTCAGCATATTGGGGCCTCTCAAACTTGTACAACAGTTGAGTTCCCAGCATGACATTGAAGTATTCTTTAATTCCAGCCACAACTTCATTGACTGCATACTCCCTGGTAAATAGAGAAAACACTGCAAGTCTTGTTCTAATGACTGGATGGACACAAGATGAGAGTTAGCTTGCCAAGTCCATCAAAATCATAAAAATGTTTGAAAAACCTGAAGGTTTTTCAAGGAAATTTGTCTGGAGACCTTAAAATACACAGACACAGGGAGTGATGCATTTCAAGATCTCCTTTAAAAATGGTCTGTTCTGAACTCAGTAAGAATTTAGGCAAGCCAAGAAAAGCCTTGTTTTTAGTCATCCACTCACTTAGAGAAATTAACTCTTCAAGCAGTCATTTCAAAGCAACAGTAAGTATTTATAAGGATACTTACCAGCTCTTCTGTTTTCAACCAAAGTTAATCCCAACTCACATCAGTTTAAAAGTACAATACTACTTTAAGTAATCAGACAGAACTCCTACTTAATGGAAAGGGACAGCTACCCAGTATTTCAGGCAACTGACCCTTTCTAACTAGGCCTCTCAATGCTATACTCCTGCAGGCCTCCAACTTCACAACTAACTGAAGAACTGTATAGGAATGAGCAGTGACACTGCACATCTGAGAAATACAACCCCCACTCCACCCTGCAAACAAATTTAGAACAGACATTAGGACAATTACATAAAAGAATGTTAGAACACCCTGGTAAGTCAATAATATGCTTCCTCTTGAATGGAAGAAAATAACTTCACATTTCTAGTTTCTCCCCCTTTAAACCAGAAAAGCTTCATTCAAGAATAAACACACCTTGTTTGTTGTCAGGGCTGGACTTCCAGGGTAATTACAAACAAGAATCTTCAAAGCTATCACCTCAAAGTAATTAGCTTTGCCCATCTGATTCTTAAGTGTCACCATCTACCTCCCTGTCCCCCACCCCTCTGCCTCTGTGAGAGAGTCCACCCATACAGTAACACTTTGCTCATCTGCCAGGTAGCTTTTTTGATAGTTTGTTCAGCTCATACCTAGCAAGTGCCAATGACTTTATTCACCCGAGGTAGGAAGCCTGAGCTAGAATGAAGGGCTGGAGAGCTATTCACTCGGCTTGTATCAGCTTCCTTTAGGAAAAGGCTTAGGGGAAGTGGGGAAGCAGAAATAATATCCAGAAAGCAGAACACCATTCTTGAATTACCTCCTCAAAGATTTCTAAACTCCTCAATCACCTAGGTCTTGGAAAATGAAGCTGAACATAGGGCTGGGACATGTTTAACCACCTTACTAAATTTTCCATGAAATACAAGTCCAAGCAAAAGAAGTATTTAAGGTTTGAAATGACCACTACTTACTTGTTATCAGTATTTCCTCGTGATTTTTTATAGTTTGCATAATCCTCTAAAATGGAGTCAACATTCTTCTTGGCAGGAAGATAGAAGAGCTATACAAGAAGCAAAACCAAACAAATACAAGTTGTCTAATTTATGCAGGCATTTATATCTGCATACTAAATTTAAAGCAACATACATAAGGACATTTCTAGAATAAAATTAACAGGTTAAGATGTTAAGTGTTATTAAAGGAACACCCAACTGTTTTAGTTGTTCGTACCAAAAAAAACGCTTAACAGCAACTATATCCATGTTTCCATTTAACATTTGTGCTGCTCAGCAGCAACCTGATGATGAACTGCTAAAGTCACCCGAAGAGTCAAAGGTACACAGCAAAGCACACCCCTTCAGACCTGCCTACACCAGGCCGCACAGCAGTGACAAAAGCAACAGTGACCATTTTGCGTATTCTTCTGCCTGCTCTTCCTCTTGCACCCACAGTTCAGCACCTGACACTACTATTGCAGCGAAGCAAATAAGCTTGCCAAGCACCTGCTGGGAAGTTTCACTGCCTGCACAGTCTGAGAAGTATTAGAGCTACATCAGAGCACACAGAATTGAAGACAAATATTCCCAGCCATGATTCGCCAAGGATCAACTTCCATCTTTAACACCATACACAGATCATCTGTACCCACAGACACTAGTTCAGTTGTATAGGGCAAGGCTCAGTAGTACAGCGAATTCACATACTTGGGTTTTTTTTTTTTTTTCCTGAGGCACGGGCCCCAGTTCACTTATCTATTTCCTTTAACAAGGGCACTACAGTCCGAAGACATTTCGGGGAGCGTGGGGAAAAGCAAGTCTCCAGAACTGGAGTCAGTGTAACACACAGTGGTGCTTAAGTACCTTTACTGCTGATGCAAGTTTAAGATTTGTATTCACCAAGAAAAGTCAGCCTTATCCACATAGGACTTGAACAAGATTTTTACGTGTTTGGGATTGCAAGAACGCAGACAGTACCTCGGAGTAGCAGTAAGTTACAGCATGCAATTGCAACCTACCAAACAACAGCAAACAGTTTTCAACAGAATTATTTTCTATGCTTCTTGCTGATCTTAGTAAGCAGTTTCACACAAGAAACAAGTCATGATTCGTTAATACGTTTTAAGTTCATGAAAGTGTTTTACACTTTTAAAATGGAAAGCAAAGTTTAATTTACTGTATCAGGAAGCTTTATATGGATCCAGCCTGGCAGAAGTTAAGAATCACTATCTTACACAACAGCTTTCTGTCAGAGCTGTAGAACAACTTAAGATGCTCGCAGAACCTGGCAACGAGTGACATGTAAACAAAGCAGGAAGGAGCTAAGATAAAATATGCATCCCATGTGATATTCCTACAGACCAATTCTCTACCAACTAAGTAAACTGTTCAAAACATACCAGCAGGCCAAGCATGCATAGAGTTAACACCACACTTAATTTAAAAAACTTATTTAAGCTTTATTTGCCTTTCTAGCTTATGCTTGATTAGACAAAGTCTGTTCTACAAATTTACATGCGACTCTGCTGAGCAACAGTCCTACTCACAGGTGACCTTTGGTTAAAATCCAACCAGAATGAGAACTGTCAAGTAAAGCCATCAGGCTGCTGTCAAACTCTGCAAGAGATTTCACTACACTGCACTTGAAAAGGATATGAAATTCTAGTTTTAGTATCCTCACCTATACATGGCCAGATTGTTCTTTTGACAAATTACCTGCTTTTGCCTGGTGATCAAGTCCCAGTCATCTACCAGCCATGGTTTCAGCTCTTCTGGGATTTTCACCTTTACTTCAACTCTGTTCATAAATGTTTCTTCCTAAAAAAAGTGAAGCCAAACCAATTACTTTCAGATAACTGTCCAAGCTAAGAGTCACCCATATTCCTTGTTTTCACAACTGAAATACACCCCTGGACTGAGGAATTACTACAGTAATTCCTGTAGGCTCCACAGGGAACAAGGAAATAGCTTAGTTTTTTCAAGGCCACTTGGGAACCTTAGTTTTGCAAGTTGTAACATTTCACACTGCCAAACTCTAGGACAAAGTATTGCTGTCTGCATTTCTGAGCAAAGCAACCTTCCTGTTTTCTATCAAAAATCCTGCGGGAATCAGAAATACATACACTTTCAACTGTTGGATCTACTCGAGCCCTCTTCTTCCTAGGAGGCTGAGGAGTCTCACTGGTACTGCTCCCTTCTCCGATTCCTGGAGCTGTACAGAAAAAAAAAAAAGATTGGTGGTTTCTGCATTAAAAACAAACCAATAGGTCAGCATCTGTAACATTCTTTGGAAGAATTTTTGGAACCAGCAACTCAGCTTTGCAAATATGTCACATCTTCATCTCAGTAAGAAAACATGGATTTGACTTAAATTATTTCAACAGCTCCATGGAGATATCACTTCGCTTTTAATTTGCAGGAGGTCAAAATCTTAACAGACTGAAACAAGTAGTTTGTGTACAAACCAGAAAAGTATGCATTCTTCCTGACCAGGAGGAAGAGACATTTGAAGTCCAAGAGGTGATAGGAAGTAAACTTAGTTGAGGCAGATTTAAGGTCTTATTCCAGTTAAGAATCCTTCACTAAGGATATCCACTTATATACAAAATAAAAACATACTTACTTTTCTGTTTGTTCTTTTTTGTTTTCCTGCAAGAAGAACACAAATTATTGCAAATATAAAGATAGTGGTACTTAAAGAATCGAAAGTAGAAAGCCAGAAAATTGTCCGCTAAGTTCAGAATAATGAGCGAATACTCAGTGGCCTATGGAGTATTTAGATAAAAGCATTAAAGAAATGCCAGATGTGATTTAGCGTCACAGTTACGATACTACAAGATTTTTCATTTAACAGGTTGTAACTCATCATTTTGGGGGGGAATCACTAACTTAAACCTACAAAACGCCAGAAGGCATGCCAAGAATACATGAGTATTTAAAAACAGTACTGACTGACACTTATGCAAGTAACGTCTACGGATGTTTTATACTTTCCAGGTGCTGTTGGAAAACTACACTAGATTTGTAGGTGGTTTATTTCTGTATTTCAGGGATCACTTAGAGACAGAATATGGGACAAGGAAAGAGAAGCACTGGGAATTATTGTATAAGTCTCAGTCAACTGAATTAACTTCTAGAAAAGTATTGAAAAAACCCACAGTTTTACCATTACAGCAGTAGAGGGAAGTTTAAATAGCACTACCAGAATTATATGCATGAAGCTGCATGGACTGCCTACAATTCCATCATCAACTTTTAAGAGAAGCGCTGGGAATTATTGTATAAGTCTGTCCTGGTTTCGGCTGGGATAGGGTTAAATTTCTTGCTAGTGCTGTGTTTTGGATTTAGTATGAGGAGAATGTTGATAACACACTGATGTTTTCAGTTGTTGCTAAGTACCCTCCTAGTCCAAGGACAGCTCCCATGCCTACTGACTGAGCTGGGTACACAAGATGGGAGGGAACATAATCAGGACAGCCAGCTCAGCTGGCTAATGGGGTATTCCATACCATGTGACGTCATGCTCAGTATATGAATGGTGGGCGTGATCCAGGAAGTACCGATCGCTACCTGGTTATCGGTCAGCGCGGGTGGTGAGCAATTGCATTGTGCATCACTTATTTTGTATATTTTATCATTATCATTATTATTCTCCCTTTTCTGTTTTATTAAACTGTCTTTATCTCAACTCACGAGTTTTTCTCACTCTTACCCTTCCGATTCTCTCCCCGTCCCACTGGGGGGGGGGGAGTGAGTGAGCGGCTGCGTGGTTGGTTAAACCACGACAAAGTCTCAGTCAACTGAATTAACTTCTAGAAAAGTATTGAAAAAACCCACAGTTTTACCACTACAGCAGTAGAGGGAAGTTTAAATAGCACTACCAGAATTATATGCATGAAGCTGCATGGACTGCCTACAATTCCATCATCAACTTTTCAGGGAAATCATGATTACACTTGCCACTTACTAGAAACATTTGGAACATTACTAAATAATGTTGACCCTAATATTTATCTTCTTCCAAATGCTTCTCTGAACTTACTGTTTCTAATTTACACTTCACACTTCTCTAAAGTCTCTATCCTTAGCCCTTATTTTTATTCCAAATGAAAAGCTGTACTTCCAAAAATTTTAAAGACACCTGAAATACAACGCACATGACATGTAAATATTCAGATAGGTCAAGAGCATCAATAACAAAATTAACTGTCCTAACAAGTATTTTTGTTATTATCTGAACTTTGTATATTTACTAACCATTTTCAGAAAATTTTTAATTAAGAGTACTACTAGTCATGTTTCAATTTGCTCACTATTAATAGGAGTCCAGTTAAACCTCTCAAAAAATTGCAGATTGTGTGGATAAAACTCTTTACAAGTACAAGATTATTTCCTTGGGAACACTATGTCAAGTGACTCTTGTATTCAGGCTTTGAACTGGGTTTATCTGGGTCAGGAAGGAGGCAGAGTTTCTAGGAAGGTCTGAAGATAGGAAGAGTAAGGCTTTTTTCAAGCTTCTAGTCAAACAAGCATTAGGCTTAAACTGTGGGCAGAATAAATATCATCTCTCTCCAGGAAGAAGAACAATTGCCAAGTTAAGTCACTGATAACAGACTTGTGTATTGAAGAGAGAGTTTCTTCTTCCAAACCTAGAGTAAACGAGGAGGAACAGGGAGTTCTTTCCAGAATTAAAATCACAAGATAAAAATAATGTTAAGCATTAGTCTAGAAGCAGAGTCTTAAAAAACTGGGACAGGCAATATAAAGTACTTAAAGAACTACCGCAATTAAGTCAGTAAGCCACATCTATGTTACTGAAGCACAAAGTCTAGCATAAACCATTCTAGGCAGTTGCTTGTGCTCTCCCACCTCATTCCTTACATTTCCTGATTCCTTATATTTCAAGTCATATGCCTCTGCTTCAAGTCAAAGCACCCATCTGTTTGCAAAGTCTAAAAGACAAATCTGAGTTAGGCAACAAAAAGAAAGAGCTAAGGTTAAAGACAAAACATTAGCATTTGGCTGATTTTTGATAGCCTGTACAGCAGACTGTCTGGAATAATACTCTTCACCAGGTGAAGGCAGCTGTGCAAGGTGAAGTGTTGCTCTTATGTACAGTAATTGAAGGATGCAGTGCACTCGATGTCCAGGAAGAAGATGCAGCATCTGTATCGCAGAGGTTATAGACAGCCCTACTGATGGAAGTTGTAGCCTAAGATGAGCAGCACATCTTAGATAGCTAGATTCCATTAATCAGACCAAGCAGACTCATGTTGAGACATACAGCTGTTCCTCGTGATGGCAGATAATGCCTTCCTGGAAGCCCAGCTGCTATTCTTCATTCACGTATTTCTCTATTGACTGGCATTTTTCACTGAAAGCTGACAACAAAACTAAAAAGCAGCATGGAAGTTTCAAGGAAGCTTCTGTGAAAAGAGTTTTAATTAAAAGACTGAACAGACATGCCAGGTGCTAAAGTTCAAACTAAAGATCTCCCAGTTCAAACTTAAAGGGTGCATCCCACTGTAGTCAGATATTACCTCCTCAAAGAAGCAGGGCTTCTGATAAGAAGCTAACCCAGCCCCCATTGCAGGGTTTTATTTTAGCAGAACAAGAACATGCAGCTATAACAACAATATTCAACTATTGGGGATCAAAATGCAAGACTGAATTAGAAAGCCAAAAATAAGTGAACTACAACTGACATAACCATCTGAAATTGTATAGAAACAAAATAATCAGTAGAAAACAAACAGTATTACAGCTTACAGAAATGCTATATATCAACGGTGACAGACTCAGAAGGAAAATAAGCAGCCCATGCCACAAGAGCATAATACTGAACTTCCAACCTCAGTATCCAAAACAGGACTGTGTTCACGATCAAATGGTGAAACTAAAGAGGATGCCACGGAAGACAACATACTGAAAGACTGCACTTCACCTTTCTACAGACATTCATCAGAAGAAAGATAATCAAGTATCTGTCACAGAACCTTGGCTACCACCTCAAGAAGCCAGCAATCTTTGCACAACAGATTTGGTGTTAATGCTCAGAGCTCTAAACTGGAGTGTCTTGTGGGACATCCCAGAAAACTGTCAGTCGAAAATAAAAATAGCTTAGAAAATAGCATTCAACACAGACAAATGACATCAGGAAAAAACCAAGACTTTGGAAGGTTTACTTACTCCACAACAGTTACGAGTCCATGACCAGGTAGATAAAGATGTTGTGGACAATAACAAGTATTCTACTTTCCCAAAATCCACGTGCCTTTTAAAGTGACTTAGAGGTCTGTTAGAAACTCCCTACAATAGCTGTTTAAGATATGAGCAGCAGAGAATGAATGTAGCTACCACTTGGTCTCAGGCATTTGAGTTCAATACATTTGCAAATGCCAGAAAAAGGAAATTAGGTGCCAGTTAACTGATAAAACAACAGTTGTAACTAAGCTATACGAAATCACAAAGCCTCTCCTAATACAAGGTGACTAGTAATAAAAAAGTAAATTAAAAGATTCAAATGTGAAAAACAAGTACATTGGAAAAAAGTATGAAATCAGCCACTACTGCTCAAGCAGCTTGGTCAGTAACTTAGCCGTGAGAGGCAGCATTGCTATCACGATTCAATTAAACCATCAAACATTATTAGCAAAAGGATAAAAACCAAAGTCCAGATTATATACACGTATGTCTCCTGTGCCTGGTCAGGCAACCTGGCCTTAGGAGGCACACAATAAAACTAGAAGAGGTAAAGAGAACAAAGAATAGTTGGTAGTATAAAACAGCTTCTATACCAGGAGTAACCAGCCAGGCAAGGGCTTTCTCAAGCTGACAACTGGGCAGAAGAGGGGAAATGTGGTAGAGGTATCACTAGCGATAAAAGGTGAAGCTCAAAGTACTAATCAATCTTTCCTCAAGAAAGATGAAAAAGACCAAAAAAACCAAAGCAGCAGACATTAAAAAGACAGAAGGAGTCATCCCCTTTCCTCCCTTCTTCAACACAGTACTGAATTAAAACGAGAACACGCTGCCACAAGATGATGGGGATGCCAGAAGTCCAAATGGTTCAGAAGTTATTAGATAAATATAAGACAGTCCTACAGAGGGTTATTAAACCCATCACATGGATACAGCCTACAGCTCTGAAGTCCGTTAATTACAGACTGCTAGAAGCAAAAAGGGTATTTGGGGGAGAACAGCATTCTAGACTTGACTCACTTCATTACCCCTAAGCATGTTACTGGTGACCATCAGACAGCAGAAGAGGGTAGGAAAATCTCCAGCTTGAGCTGGTATAGCCATTCCAGTGTTGTTACAGCCCTAGACAACTGGCACGTAGGCAGTGTTCACATGCCGCTTGACATTTAGAGGACTTGAAGTAGCTTGTGAGAGAGATACTAGCTGTGCCAAAGATAGCAGAGGATGCCACAAGAGACATGCAGCAGGAGCATATGCTTTTGAGTAATATGTTCAGATTAAGAACAAGACTTCTATTAGAAGAAAAAACAATAAGCCCCAAGCTGAGATATTGTTTTGAGAGCATCTCTGATGAGACTGCTTACATATATATAATTTAAAAACAGATGCTATTCTCAAATTTGTTATTCAGTGCCATATCTTCCCTCCAGAACACTCTCAGCTGCCCTTCTTATTTTCCAAGCACCCCTTAACTCTGATTGTTTACTGATTTTTTGCAAGTTAATCATATTAGGCCCATCAAAGGTAGCATAAACTCTTAGAGGTTGGAATTCAGCAGAGCTACATATAAAACAGTCTGGAGAAGCCAGTATCTCTACTGTTGTATTTCATTTTTGGCAACCTGCTATAACCATACAAAGTTTTTTTCTATGATAGCTTCTAGTTACCATAAGATGAATAATTATTTTAAAAACAAGTGTATACAACCTGCGTTTCATGCATATTTCTATGTGATCAAATACTGCTTACAAATAGTCTCAAAAGCTTTTTGAACCACTTGCTGCAGTTTACAGAAGCAGTTATTCTGAACAGACTCAAGCCAACAATAAAATACACATTAAGGAGCAGGTTCAAACCTTGCATTTCTAACACCATCTATCGTAGCAGCCTCGCTCCCAAGACTTACAGAAGACATTGCAGTTTGTTACTGATTTCCATTGAGGCAGAACTCCAGGCCACAGTAAGCATGCAGACCAAATGCAACCTAGAACTATCCAGTTTCAAAAATCTGAAGTCAGTTGTCCTCCACTTCTTTTTAAACAGTGGACACACTGAATGCTTTTGACTACTCATATTGCACCCCATCCCAACTGAAAAGGTATACTTTTCAGAGAAACTAAAAACTGGTAGTCCATACTGGCTTTAAAAAAACCAAAACGATATACTGCAGTACTTATAATTGTTAACTGAATTGCTACCAAAGTTTACATTATTACAACTGAGGACTTTAAGAGTCTCTGAAAGAAATCTATGAAAGCAAGGAGATTTGGATTTCAGGATGAAAATCCTGGTTTGACAATCCATCCTTAACTCACCGCGTCGATATTGTAGGGGTCTCCAAACAGCAAACAGTATGCGCTCCATCTCGTCTGAAAAATCTAGGCACAATGGGGGTTGAGTTAAGGAAAGAATGTCAGACCTAGTGTTCAGCCTTAAAGAGAATCTATTTAAGATTCAAAAATTTACCTTTTTAGCAGCATATTATAGTCTTACTGAACATTCCTGGAGGATAAGTTGTGCTTACATTGTTATTTCCTTTCCATTATTGTTTGACTATCTGAAGAATAAGTTTCAAAATACAAGTTACCCTTCCCTCTGTTCAATCCTCCAAGAATGCTACAAAAGGTATATTTTGAGGCCCAAATAGGCTGACAGTGTTACCCTTTTAGAATAGTTGCGTGACCAGTTTCTCCCCCTCCCCACCATCAGTACTTTATGTATCTGCAATGACCTTAGATTTACAACAAGAGAACAACCCAGAAGTTTTATTTTGGAACAGGATTTTGAGATTTTTCAGAAGCCATCTTGCCTTTAGCTGTAAGCAGGATCTGAGAAGCAGTAGTTTGGTCAATAATAAATCAGTATCACAACCCTGCATCACTGCTAGGATAAGTCAAAGTACTTCCTCTCCCTCAGCCGCCAAATAGGGAAGAAAAATAGGGAGACTTTGTTGAAAGAAGCACAGGTCTAATTCAGAAGGATGCATTGGATGCTGGTAATGGCTAGAGACTAGGAGCAAGATCAGTGCAACGAGCATATGGGACCCTGTTATAAATAACTTTCACAATGCAAGACTGCTGTTCTAATGACAACAGTTTTCCGTCTTCCCCTTTACAGCTCTGGAAATCCACCATCAAGGAATTAATTTTCCCAATCAACATGAAACAGAGGTTTCAGAGAATTAACTTATTGTCTGTTTTGCTATGCTGGAAACAACCACCCATGCTTAGGATAGCGATGACAGCGAAAAGCAAAGCTACTCCCTTTCCCCAGCTGGTTTCAACCAGAGAGTAAAGACAGACCTGGTAACATGCTTCCAAGCTTTAGAGTTACACAGAGGCTTAAGATAAAGTCATTTCTGCTGTGTGGGTCTCCCTTGGATGTAACATTATTAGGTGTGGTTGAGAGGATTAAGCCAACTTTGATTTCAAGCACAGGTTAACATTTAGCATTTACTCAGCCAGAGAGAACAACTCATCCCACTGCAATCTGTCTGGACTACCAAGATGACTAAAGCTGCCAGTATGGGGAACCTAATCCTGAAGTTTCTATTGGGATGTTCTCTATAATGTAAATTGTAGACATTTACAATTGAGTCATCACTACCTGTGTCAAAGTCACACATGAAATTAATTCTACTCCCACTGACTAAAATGCAACAAGACTTAGGTGCAACAGCCCCTTAAGCAGCCAAATTAGTAATGGTCATAATTTAGATCTGCTTTAATTAGATTTTAATGACATTCACTAGGAACTGTCTAAACAGACATCTGGTTTGGGTTTTTTTCACCCCCAAATGAAGACAAACAGGTGACTAGGTCCCTGTCAGAGGTCCATGCTGAGCTGACAGAGCACACCAAACCGGTGGTGTTAAAGCACCTCAGAATCTACAGCAACAGACCGCAAGGGAGCACGCATGCAGCATTATGGCCAGATCCATCGGACTCCCCATTCCAGAGACCAAGAGCCAATCTACAGCCTTGGCTAGGCTTTGACTAATCCTAAAGTGAAGTCTGCTTTCAGGATCTAGAGCAAAAAAAACCCCACACAACTGTACCCTCTACCACTGATACATATTTCGTAACATAAAGTTGCCCATAAATGAGACATGAAATCTGAGGCTGCTGCCAAATGCTGCTCTTAGGAATTGATATCGTTTCAGCAGCTTCCTCATGAAGACCAGAATCACAACTGAAGTCAGGAGTTCAAAATATCACATTAGTAATGACCATCTTCATAATTAAGTGAAGTACTACCCCAAATAGAAGAGTTTCACAGCACATGAGCAAAGCAGTAGAGCTGTACTGACTGTATGAGAACCTAAACATAACACCATACAAGCCTATTCTAAAAAACAAAAAGGATGGAATGAAAGAAATCTGACAGTTACATCCTGAAATTATTTTTTCTACTAAATGTCTGAGCTTGCTTCTGGTCTCTTAAGATGCAAAACCATTTTTAAAAGCATATGGGTTTAGTTTTGTCAAAAACAGCAAAACAAAGACTCCTTAAATGCAGTTTTAACAATTGTACAATAAGAAGGCAAGGCATTTTAAGGATTTTATTCAAAAGTGCTTGCACAGCTTGGAAGAACTGTAAAATTCTATATCGAAACCGATTTCACCGAGATACGAGTCTTATGAGGACTCACCACTTTTTGAGTGTCAGTTTGCTAACTTAAGAGGAATAGAGTGCAAAAAAAGTACAGAGTGTTAGTGTCAGTACCTTGATTCAGTATTAAACACTGCACAATCTAAGAAGGCAGTTTTAATAAAATACTTCAGCAAAGGCCTTTTTGATATCACAAAAGTGAAACACAGCTTTTGTATTGTTTCTGTCAGAAGTAATGTAGTTTAGCCTGCAGAACCATTCTAAGAAAAATACTATTTAAGGATCAGTAGTAAAACTGACAAGCAAAAGTTTGGGAGTTTTTTTGGGTGGAGTTTTGGTGGTGTGGGTTTTTCTCGGTTGGTTTGGTTTGGTTTTTTAAATAAAAAACTTCTTACACTTCAACATTTTTCTGCTGCAGACCAGAAGTCTTCTTGCCCGGAGCAGCACCTCTCATCTTTCCCTCCGCATATTGTTCCCTTTAAAAAAAGCGTAAATTCATAAATAAGACTTTAATGGAAAAACAAGCTTGTTTTCCCTCAACGGGTAACAGGTTATGCAAAACATTTAGAGAATGTCTAGTAAATGGCTTTGCAAATCAGTATGTGTCATGAGCAGGAACAAATCCAACTCAGTATCAAGAAGATTTAGGCTTCTTCATACAACACTTAGCAGTAGAACACCCATTTCCTCCCCCTCCCACCGTTCTTGTTATTCTGAATTACATGGAAGCAGCACACTGCTCCTGAAAAATATAAAACAACTTCTCAATAAAAGCATTTCTATTAAAGAAATACAAGATTAGCATTCACAAAAATCAAAGTATTTGTAGGCAGCCTGAAGCTCTCTGAGAAGATCCTTACCACTTAACAATATATTTTAAAGATACTGCACAAGGGTCATTTTTAGCCACCTAATTTCCACATTACAGGATGTACTTGCAGTTAGTCAGGCTGCCTCTCGATTTCATCAACCTATTCTTCCTTAAAACCTCAAGTCACCATTTTAAAACAAAGTAGCAGCTTGCTCCTTCTAAACTGTTAGAGGACAAAGATCAGAACACCTCTGTAAGCCAAAACACCTCAAGAACAAATGAACATATGAACACCTCTTGAAGGCTTTTTTTTTTAAACTCACTAACTTCCCTTGATATTAGTTGTTGGATTGAAGCTCTATAAAAGAATTATTTACTGACAAGGTCTTCTAACAAAAATACTTACTGATTGGCCTTTTGAAGTTCTTTTTGTTTCTGCAAATTGGTATCCACGTATTTGAGCACTCTGCTTTCTGGAACCCATTCATCCCAGCTGAAAAAAAATTTAAAAAATCAAATGATCATTCAAAAACATTACATAATTGCATTTTACACGCAATAGTCAATTAAAAGCTTCACAGAATTTGAGACTGAACTCTGCTTTTGTGTCAAGTCATGGACTGGCACAACTGAAAGTGTAAATTACCAAACGCATTCCCCACTGACTGAAGCTGTAACGATTTTTCTAGGGAAGTGTAACCCTCAGTCATCTCCAAAGAGTTTCCCAAACTTGAAGGATGGGCAATTTAGGAGGGAGGGGACTGTCTTTAATTTAAAAGAAGCATCTCAAAAAAAAAATTCTACTCTTACTAAATTATGGGACACCTGTAGCCATAACTATATTATGAAGCAAGTTTCCTTTATCTATTCCAACATTTTATAGGTTAACAAATTCAGCAATAAGATCTTACTGTAAGAAGAAGAGCTCTGATTTCTGTCTGTGAAGGAAACCAAGATGGCATGAATATTTGAAGAATCTGAAGTGAACGATTTAAGAGAACAGGTGTTGGGGAAATTGCCATTACGAGCAAGAATTCCACTTTGACAAAGAGTGGATTATCTGAGCAATCTGACAATTTATTTCAAATAAAACACATTAAAAGTGGCCAAGTCATTCTAAAGTATGCAAGTTAAAGATCTATTTATAAAGAGTTCTGTGTCATTTTCATTTCATAGCAACAGCTGCCAGTCTGAGAACATCGAGGTGTCAAAACCAATACTACTCCAGGAATACAAGGTCTTCAAGAGTGTTAAGACAAAGCAAGCGTAGCATCCAAACGTTACAGAGAAACACATGTCCAGCTGTACACATTCTAAGACTATGTTTTTAGAATAGTGCTTTGGTCAGATATTTAAGCCACTTATCTTACTCCTGCCTGTACAGCTGCAAGAGACCTTCAAAAGAAGTGCTGTGTAACTGTGCGGCACATTATACTGTATGATGAAGAAACTTTTTTGGTATCCTAACTGTTGATATTTGAAAAAAAATTAAGAAGTCAAGCAATTAACAAGTAACAAAGGACCTTAATTATAGAAACCAAAATTAAGGAGTCATATTGCCCCAGTTGTCTAGATCGTGCAGCAACGCCACTTTTAATGTAGTTAATTGGAAGCTTGAAGGCAAAAAAACTCAAACAGCGCAAGCAAGAAAAGCAGGAGTCACGACATCACTTATGGCACCCTTCATCAGAGATAAACAAGGAGAGGAAGTATCAAATTTATGCTGCCTCATTAATATACAGCAGCCACCATAAGAAACAATTATGCTTCCTGTAACTGTCGGTGTTTACAATAAAACATTTATCTGTCCATTTGGCAGGGAGGGTGTGCGGATGCATTTAAAAAAGTTACATATTAACACATGAAGTTCAGCTTTTAGTCACGTCAGTGAGATCAAGATACTAGTGACTAAGTCTTCACTCGAGTCTGCAGCACTGAAATGAAACAAAAACAAACAGAACAGGAAAAAGTGCTCTCTGAAAGACTTCTGGAGTCTGAAGAGCTGAAGCTTTTAATCACTGAGAAAAAACACTCCACTTTTCCTGAATTCAAAACCTAGTGACAGAACAGAATTCAAATGAAAGAAAAAAAGACAAGTACATAAATGCAATAACCTGAAAGTATTCACCTTTAATAGGCTGAACTTTTATTTCATACTTCAGAAATCTCTCACCTAGAATCCTACCATTTTTCCAGAAGGGAAAAGAATCTCTAACTTTACCTTAGCATGAGAGGCAAGAACTGAAACACAGTCTAAACCTGCCCCTGTGAAGGATTAAAATAGACAGCCTTTCCCATTCTGAACACACAGCCTTCACTAAGGCATGCTTCTCCAAATCTTTGCTACCAAACTTTGCTGCCAAAAGTAAGTACACTGTGTATTTGAGTAGAGAGTTTTGCTCCACCTCAGTAAAGGTTGCCTCTCCTACCAACACATAACAAGGAAGTTTTTGTACTAGGTATTTCTGCCAGGGAGGAATTACAGTAACTATTTTCAAACTTGAACAAACAGAACGCTATAGTCTACTGACAGCCTAAGCTAGTTTGCCTATACAACCAAAGCTCTGAAGGAAATGGTGAGTTAGGCAATGTTTTCTTTGTGTTACTATAAATCATTGGCTTATGTATAAAAGTCATTTAGGTCAATTTCAGAAAATCTCCTATCGACACAGCCATGGTAGTGCTAGTCCATCAAGCTCGCATTCAAACTGACAAAGCTTGCATCTTCCCACAAAGGAAAAAGAAATACTGCTTTCATTTTATGCAATACTTACTTTTTATTCCAACCACTGTAATGGATAAAGTATTTCACTTGCTTGTCCTTTATGGCAACCTTTACACACTGGAACAGAGAAGAAAGTTCAGTCAGTACCAATGGGAACAGAGATCTGAAGGAGTTTTGCTTTTTTAGCTTTCAGAGTTTAAGCATGCAGAGATTTCCATGCAAGCGATTGAAATACTGGCAGCTATTTCACAGCAGAAAGTTAAGTTCTCTAACACAAGTTACTGCCTATTTACAGATTTGGAAGGACTAGGCAAACAAGCGACTCTGCTCAGCTATCCAAAGGGACACCTTCATTCACGAGAAGGATCAGAAACCCCTGAGGATGACCAGAAGAGTAAACAAGCAGTCACTTCACTACCCCCAAGTTAGCCAAAAGCCATTCACTAGAGAGCTTGTTCACATGCAGGCCCCTACCTCACAGACAGGTAAGCTGGCTGAAGTAGAGGAGTCTTCAAAAGTAAAATAAATAATATGGATCTCTACAGCCACAGAGAGAGCATTATATTCAGTAGAAAGAGTTGCAGTAAGGGCTTTTTCTAGATTAAGAATGTATACATGAGGTAAATAAAAACAGTTATTTCCATCAAAAGACTGGCCTATGAATACAGTAACTTCCTCATAAAATGACCATTAAAAAAAGAGACCATTAAAAGAGGGAACACATACATAACAAGATTGCTGCAACCACTCCACAATATCACTCAGATTCAGAAGTGCCCCTCACAAACTTTTCTGGGTTATAGTTTAGCACAGCCCCACTCGCAGCCTGCAAGACCCTGCCTCAACTCAGAGGAACATGTTCGGGTGAGCTGGAACAACTGTGCACGCTGCCCGATAACAACACAACTTCCTCCTACCCCTGCAGTCTGGCACGTAAGAGCTCAAGCTACCACATCTATATAAAAGAAAAACATAGCCAGTGACATGCCCCTTCCTGCAAAAACACAGCCAGAACAGAAACTACATAACCCACCTCATGTCCCTGAACTTCTTCATTATACCTAATTAAATCCACCAACTCCTGCTTGGATAAGGCACTTCATCCAGAAAGGTATCAAGTCTTGCTCTGGATACATAGAGACACAGATGCCACTGTACCACTTTAACAGTGAAATAATGAGGGTCCCTTTTTAAGGACTTTTTCCACTGAAGTAAAAAATTACTCGTAAAAGCCATAACTGCTATTTTCTTGCCATACTAATCGTTACCTCTAAGTATTTGAGAGGGCAGAGCCCTCTGCTGTACAGCACCTTCTCAAGACTTTTGTGGTGATTCCTCCCTGCACCCTCTCCAATTAAAAAAAACTTAATTGTCAACATAGAGAGGAACATCGTATTTCAGTACTAATCTCCAAAATGCCACATATGGAACTTAAGCTCAATCTCATCTAGACTTGCAACTAGGAGTAAGGATATCCTAATCTTGTTTGATATACTGCTGCACCAGTGGCTCATTGTGACAGTCCTGGAGTTAAAGCCAGCCAAATACAAACTGCGTGCTTAAGAAGTGTTTACATGTTTCGAAGAATGTAAGTGAGCACGAAATAAAAGAACATTCAAATATAGTTCTGTACCAAAATATTTTCTTTCCTGCTGGAGGTTAGAAGTGTCTTAAGTGAATCTCATTTAACTCTGCATTGTACAAAGATGTACAGTTACTGTTTGTCATAGTTTTTCATACTGCTCTAACACACACAAGTGCTTTTCTGATCACCTTGCTATGGGAAGCCAAGGATATGGTCATCAGGAACGAAATAACTTATGTATTGAGAATCACAGAAGAAAAATAGATCAAAGGAACAGGAGGAAGGCTAAGTTATTATTCACTACCACCTACGAAGTATCTTTGTAAAATTAAACCCAGTTCCTTCTGCCATTGCAGGAGCCCAGAAGGATCCAGACTCTCAACATAAATAGCCAGCCAAAAGCTATCTTGCCAACTGGGAAGTCCCTTCTAGCACCAAGCTGGCGGAGCCAGTTCCTGCAACACTCGTTCCACCCTTGGGTAAAGGAGAAGAGGGGCACAGCACGGAGAAGCACACGACTGTAGCAGCTCTGGGCTATTTAATTGACCAAAGAGTTAAGACTGCTGCTAACAGAAGTCTGTTTTCACAAAAACAGAAGCCTTGATTACTCTCCTCTCTGTACTAGCACCTGGGCAGGCACTGGCAGAAGACAACACTCTGAGCATACATTCACAACGACCTTGTCCTCCAGTTCTAGAGCAAGGGAGAGAACAGAGTAGAATCACTAAAGTGAAAATGTTTAAGACAAGCACGTCCCCTGTCAATGCTCTGGATGTTATTTTAACATTAGAAACACTAATTGCTGATAGCATGAAAAGAGATGCCAAGTATTTCTAGCTGCCTCCCTACTACCACCTTTCTGAAGTTGTCCCGCCAGTTAACATTTACTGACACTAAAACCTAATGGATTTAAATCTGTTTAAGGTGCCCCAGGAATTTCTGCAAGTCTTCTAATCCACACAGCTACAAAAGCCCTTTATATCAATTTCAGAGGAAGTGGAAACAGGCAGTCAAATTAGGAGCCATACGGTCAGTGAAACAGGTGGCACAGCAGTGACATCTGCTTAAGGCCCACAAGAAAAGCACATCATTGAAAGTGTGGCAGCAGAGGCCTGCCACTGAAGCAGTAGGGATACTCCTCCAAGTCACAGATTTGCAATGCATGGTTTCTGCAGTTAAAAAAACCAGAACTGAGAATGCCACTTCCTTTGTTACTTTAATCCAGCATTATCTTCTGCAGCGTTGTCCCATTTGAAGACCACTGATTGTACTCAGCCACCTACATCTCTGAGGAAGCTCAAACTGCAGCTAACTTACTAGCTCATGCATTAGCACCAGCATCAAGTCCTACGGGCAAAAATTCTTTCCAGTGTTCTGGGAACACAGGTGTATCAGATGTTCAACACATAAGACCATCCGGCCTTTAGTAGTTTACCAGAATAGCTGCATAGTACCATTGGGTTTTCTGAAATTTTTCTACAATATAGAGCTCCAGCATTTAAAACTAATTAATTTCTTATATTATCAGGTTCTCCTTCATTTTAGTTTCAGTCCTTAATCCTATCTAGTGAGGCACAGCAGGTAAACTAATACAATTCCTTATTTTCTTGTGGAACAGTCAGAACTGTCTGCAGCAATAAGCAACCACACATACCTTTGCTTCATAAAGGAGAGGTCCATGAAAACAAAGCACTCGTTCACCTGAAAGAAAGTTGCAGACAAACATCTTAGAACACCACCAATGTGCCATTTCTGTAAAATATATGTCATCAAGTGCAACACAGAATGAATCCAGTGCCAACCTAGAAAGAAATTCAAAGGCAGAATACTGATTTGAGAAGCAGGCTGGTGTTTGAGAAGCAAATTCAGTCTCGTACAAAATCAGAGCTCTGATTATTTAGGCCATGAAGCAAAGATTCCTGAGGACCTCCCTGAAGAGCACTCATGCAAGGACAGCTGCATGCAACCTTGTCCAAGCCTGCCCAGAGTTTTGCAGAACAGCCAGTTACTTCAGCAAACAATTGGCACCAAAACTTACAGTCCTACCCATACTTCCAGCCACCGCCAACTCAAGTTAGACACCCTTGCATCCTGTTGCAAGGCTGGAACAGAAAACTCCTTCAAAGCCTTGAATTTCAGATGCAGACACCAAAACTCACTGGCTCGATACAAACGGACTACTTCAGCCCAAGTACTCAAGCAGTAAGCAGGTAAAACTGTCTTACTGTAAGGGATTCTTTAGTCTCCATGATATTGCATTTTGATTCAGAGCAGGAAATTAGCTCTCGTAAGAGATGGCACCTCTGCATCTTAAGCTTCTGACACAAAGGAAAGCCAGTGTTATTAGTACCCCTTTTCCTGCAGGAAGTACACCACCTGGTATTTCTAGTTCAATGAAGTCAGGAAGAGAGAGACCCCAACATTGTTTCCACAGTCCAACTTGTGGGACAGAAGAATGCCAGGTTTGTGAAACAGCAAGAAAAACTGTTCACTTTGTGGTTTTTAAGTAGGAAGAGATTGTTCTTCAGTCTGTTTTTTTTTTCCTTAATGGCAAGGTCTTACTGTGCGGTTACATTGTGGGAATTTGAATGTACTTAACACAGGATATCTGAGTACAGATGTTTCCTTCTTGAAAGCTGCAGTGCCTCACATTTTCAGAGAGACAAGCTGCATAATGCACTCCAGGGTGTAGCACACATCCAGTTCTTGCCACTATTTCCAGGACATACAGGACAGAAGAAAGCTGTCACAGTCACCATGTGCAGGCTGTACAGTACAGGTATGCAGGTACTTATTCAGTCCCCTGACTGGGCTGGGAAGGAGGTGTGCAGAAGCAGGCTGTCTCACCAGTAACACAAGTCTGGACGCCTTCTTCCTTGCTCCTTCCCAGCTTACTGCAGACATGCAGAAGGCCTCTCCTCTGAATCTACAGACCATTCTCTCCTACAGCTGCAGTGAAACACCCAAAGACAGTATTTGCAGGAGAACAGCTCTTTAGCTGAAATAGCTGGTACAAAATACAGGAACGTGCTCTGTTAACACCCCTGACTGCCAAGCTACATGGAGACTTTCTGTTGCATACGAACGGCACCTGGCCAGCGCATACTGCTCGAACATCAGCCGGGCTCTGAACGGGCACGTCTTCTGGCCTCACCACACCGTCAAAAACTTCACCTGAGGAAAAGCTTGCGGAAGTCAGAATTCAACCGCCCACTCCTTTGACTGTTTTACAGGCAGAGTATTTGTAGAAACAAGAGGTTCTCAATCTGTGGATCAAGGATACAACTACCAAGGAAGCCCTCCCATCGGTATCAGAGTGGCAGGCTAGCTAGCATCTTCATAACAGACCAGAAAACACAGAAGTGTCATCAGCATCGGCAGAAGAAAAATCTGCCTCAAGCAACTCAGAAGTTGAATCTGACATCTCAGATCCTTTTGTATTTGCTTTAAAAAAAGTCAGCATCAAGATGCAGAACACCTGAAGTACCTACAACTCTTAAATCGTATTTGTCCAAATGCTGATCTCATTTCTCATGCCTACATAAAAACATCAGTCCCTTCGTTTCAACGGGTAGACTCATACTTCTAGCTTGACATTTAGGTTTTCCTAGCTCTCATAGGTTTTCACAATAAATTCAGTCTCCTCCTCACCCTCTGCTTTGTGAAAAATGTCAATATGGATAACTTCTAAGTATACTTCCCACTCTTAGATGTACGTTCAGCTTGAAAAATCTACAATTAAAATAATTTTCGCTTGTCATGCTGTGAAGGGCCACAATAAAGCATTTAAGTTTTAGGCCTACAGGAAGCTTTATTTACTGTACTTGTCTCCCTTTCAGTGTTACAGTTGAGATCACACACATATTTGCATTTGTGGAAAAAAGCCTAAAAATTTTAACTTCTGTACTAAATTTAGGTTGCTCATATTCCTACAGCTGTGAACATAATTTCAGCCTGGAATTCTACTTAAGTTTTAGTTTCTGCAATTCACTTGATTTTACATCAATTATTATAATGTGAATTATACATTAAAGTCTAAATTATTTCTGCAGGTTAATAATACTATTAGCATTAACGCATGGCATGGAATGCTGATGCACGATTGAACATGCTCTGACATAAGCAGCCATGAAGCACATACAATTGCAGTGTTGGTTAAGCTACCCAGAATGGCCGGCTTCCAGCCATTCTTTTGCAAAATGCACTTTTAAAGATAAATCATAAACGTGTGGGAAGTCCTGCTTAGAAGCCAAACTGAGGGAGAGAAAAAAATGAAGTAAGTTTTCATTTACCATTGTCTAGCATTTTCATTTACTGATATTAGTATCAACCACTGCCATTATCTAAAAATCAAAATGTATGCAAAATAAGTCTCAGAAAAAGCATAATCCTAACCCTTATTCACCTAAAAGTATCTGGTGCTTTGCTGTAAATATGGATTCCACCACAACTGCCAGCTGTAGTCCAAATACTGCCCCACGAATCCTCCTGCAAGAGGACCCCTAACTGAGCACCCTTTCAAGAAAGAGTAAGTAATAAGCATGTTTCAAACTCAAGAAAATAAAAATCCTGACAGACTTAGGAGATTTCAGCAGTTTTAATGCCAATGAATGTCCATGCCTGCAAGAAAATGAAGCATATTTAGAATAACAGGGGATAGGAAAGCCCCACGCCTTATTGGTAGGAAAGATGAGAAACAGGAAGAAAAACAAAGACCACAGGAATTCTTTTTTTTCCACATATTCTCACACTGTTAGGGCCGAGCAGTGAAAACCAAAACCCAAATAATCCCCTGGGCTGAGGGATCACAAACACCGCAGTCCAAACCCGGTCTGGCTGAAGGCCTTACTGAAAGCTTGCCCCAGAGCCACGAGCACTGTAAGATGGAGCACTGTAATTATCCTCTGCTTTATGACAAAGGAG